AAATAAATAAATAAATAAATAAATAAATAAATAAATAACTGTTTAAAAAAAAAGAAAAGTAGAGTAAAAACGAAAGTTGTTTGCTATTAGATAAGGATCATGGTGCCACCAGGATAATTTCAGACTGTTCAAAATAAAAAATATGAGAAATGTGACTGTTGTAACAACCTAGTCACTGTAGAGGCAGTTTGGCCACCAACATTGTGGAGAATAAAAAGGTAATGTTTCCATCCTTTTTTTCCCCAAATCCCTCTAGAAAACTATTCCACTTGACACAAAGTAAGTTCCCTTATGTAATTCCGAGTCAGACATGCAAGATAAGTCAGAAATCTTTTCAGCAGCCGGTTGTGGAGGGTATGAGGAAGACAGAAGAGGGGGGAGCTGGAGAAAGATGGAAGGTTAACCATCCATCAGTCAGACTCTGAGATTTTGAACGCTCCTCCTTCCCACCCTTTTCCTTCCCCTCCTCCTTGCAGACAAGTGACCTGGGCAAATGGAGTGCTAACCTGGGGATGATTCCCTAAGACAATGTCGAGTAGGCACCATTGCATTCAATTTTCCACCAACTTGTGTTGAAGAAGTCTTGTTTAAAGCTTCATCACAAAATTTCAGATTTGAAAGAGACCTCAAAGGTCATTTAATCCACTCCCCCCCGTGATTTCACATAGATAGTTGGCAAGAAAAATTAAATTTCTCCTTGGTAACATGACGTGTCTTTGACTCCATCATCTTCATTGTAGACTTACTACGTGCACCCGTTTGTTGATTATTTCAAACATTGATAATATCTACCTTGTTGAATACTTACTATGTGCCAGGCATAGTGCTCATCCCTTTATCTACATATCTCATTGGATATCCACAATATTATTTGAGGAAAAGACTATTATTATTATCTCCTTTGACAACGGGTGAAATTGCAGCTTATAGCAAGATTCACACTCGGTTCTCTTTGCTAGGTCAGGTGTGACCTCACTGAATCTTCCTGTGACTGGGACAGGATACCCAAGAGACCTTACTTAACTCTGAGAATAATCTTCTAGAAAGGATAGTGTTGCTTCTCCAAGGAAATCATGAGTCTTCATTAATTAGAATGACCTGCCCCATCAAAGGAGCACTACACGAAACCTGAGGTCCAACTTCAGAGAGGTTTTCTACCATGGAAGACTGTGTTATGCTGCCATTAAAGAAAAGATGTCATGATTCAGGGTGCCATGCTGTGCCCAGCTGGCAGTTTCATCCCTTATTTCTTTCTCTCTAACAGGCATTTCATACAGATTACCCTGTGCGTGTGTGAATTGTATGGCGGGTGGATGACCTTCTCCCCAGACTGGCTTATGGGAAGCCCCAACCTCAACACCAACAACTGGCTCTACTTTTGGGTCTATCTGGTATTTTTCAATAGTGTATGGGTTCTGATCCCAGGACTGTTACTGTGGCAGTCATGGGTAGAACTCAAGAAAATGCATTACAAAGGAACAACTTCAAGGAAAAAATTTCAGTGAATTTTCAAAATCATAAACACTCTTTATCTTGCTTTATGAGCCAGCATGGATCAAACCTTTTTGTTTGGCCAAATGTAATACATTCCAGCCTACATTTTCTTTTTATATTGTTTTTCTTGAATTTCAAATTGATTGTAAGGTGGCAAGTTTTTGTTGTTGCTTTTTTCCAATTAAATGGCAATGTACGGAACAGAGAATAAATTTTAACTTGTAATAATAACACATTTAATTATACATTTTTATGGCTAGCATTAATTGTTCCACATTAATAAAGCCAGTTATCATAAAATACTGTAGAGCATGTTATATTAATTTTTTATTATCCAAAGAACGTGTTGTTGCTTCAACTTTTAATCTTCTCATTAGTCTTTTGGTTACCAAAGTGAAACCAGAAATGAAAGAAATGCTTCTGTTTTACATTTGTACTTTATCAAATTTGTGAAGCCAACAAAAAATGATAGTAGTAGGAATTTGTGAGTGGGCTAACTCCTCATGGGTGAACATTGGGGTTTAACATAGACAGATGATTGATTTATATCTGCCCTTTTTCAAGGAGGAAGATTTGAGATACCTTAGAAAAATACATAGTACATTATGATAAAAAGTAAATCAGGAAATAGGGACACAGGGAAAATAATAGTGAGCAATAGTAAGATGAAGGTAAAGTTGATATGCAAGATGCATGCCATAACGTCATATGTAATTGGTAGAAGTGAAGCACAAATCTGGCATTTACCTTCGGGACCACGAGGGAAACATGACTACATTGTGTTTCATAGAACACTAGTTTTGGGAGATGGTTAGAGCGATTCTATTGGAGATGGGGAGCAGGCACTCACATTAACTTGTTCAACACCTGCCTTTCTTACTAGACTGTAAGCTCACAGATGTATTCTCTGCCTAGAAAAAATGCCTGGCACATGCACCAGGCATTTGATAAGTTGTGGTGGATACTGTTGCTTGGATAGCTCAGTCTGCATTCCCCGCTCCTTCTGTGTTTCCTTCTTATTCTGTAGAGAACTGTAGGTTATGGTCCTGGGTACAAAACTGGTTTCACCTTTCACAGGTACTTGTGAGCGATTTGGAGGGTGAAAGCATGGAGACCATTTCCAACTCTTCCTTTTTTTTTTTTTTTTTGCTATTTTGTGGTGACAAGCAAGTTCATAGAAATGTGATGGTTTGGGGCATTAGCACACCAAGTGTTCAGCTTCCTGGGTATTGAGAGGCGGTTGTGGTTGGCGCAGCAAGAATAAAGGGTTTGTGGGCTGAGTAGCTCCAGTGGTGGCCTCATTGGTAGTGCCTCCCTTGGGAGGGTCCATACTGTGGTCATCTGAGAGTCATTCCTAGAAGCTTAGCCAAGCACCTGCTCTTGCAGCCCCCCAGTGATTTTTGTAAGCATCTAATTCCCTGTATTAAATCCTCCCGCTTAAAACACCTGGAGTAATTGCTGTTTTCTACACTTTTATCCTGGATGATACCTGACTACAGTATTTGTTGAATATTGAATAAGTGTAGCCAAGTAAGTTTAAGGAATATTATATTAGCACCTTAAAGGCTTTAGAAGTCCTGTAATAAGAAACTAGATTAAGTCATTTAACCCAACTTTTCCCATCATATTTAACAGACCCTTCAACAAGTGGGATGATGTTTCATGGAACATCAGGTAGGGAAGCATTGAGTAATACAATTCAGTATTCACGAGATTAAAAACAAACCAGTTGCCAATAAACAATTAAAATAGAATTTTTGAAAATACCATTCACTATAGCATCAAAACCTTCTAATATTTAGGGAAAAAATGAAAGATGTGCGAGACCTACACAGGAAAAAAAAAAACTATAAAACATTGAGAGAAGTTAAATAAGACCTAAATGAGCAAAGAGATATGTCATGTTCATGGATTGGAAGGCTCAATATTGTAAAGAAGTCAATTCTCCCCAAGTTGATCTATGGATTCAATGTAATCCCAATCAAAATCCCAGCAGATATTTAAAAAGTGATAATTAACAAGTTGATTTTAAGATATTTTATGGAAAGGGAAAGGGCCAAGAAAGCTAAGACAACCTTGTAGCAGAAGAAATTGGAGGACTTATTCCACAAGACATCAAATCTTTTTTTAAAAATTATTTTATTGAGGTCATATTGGTTTATAACATTGTGTAATTTCAGGTGTACATTATTGTATATCAGTTTCTGTATAGACAGCATTGTGCTCACCACCCATAGTCTAGTTTTTAATCTGTCACCATACATATGTGCCCCTTTACCCCTTTCGCCTACCCCCACCCCCTTCCCCTCGGGTAACCACTAATCTGTTCTCTTTATCCATGTGTTTGTTTATTTTCCACATATGAGTGAAATCATACAGTGTTTGTCTTTCTCTGTCTGGCTTATTTTGCTTAACATAATACCTTCAAGGTCCATCCATGTTGTTGCAAATGGGATGATTTTGACCAGACAGCAAATCTTAATATAAAGCTACAGTAATTAAGGCAATGTAGTATTGGCATAGGAATAGTCAAATAGACCAATGGAACAGACTAGAAAGTCCAGGACAGACCTTCTCACATGTGGACAGTAGATTTATGACAAAGGGGAAAGGATGCTCAATAAATGGTGCCAGGTCAGTTGCATGTCCATATGAGACAGAATGAATCTGGATCCTTACCTCACACCATGCACAATATCAATTCCAGGTGAATTGTTGATTTTAAAGTGAAAGGCAAACAATAAAGCTTCAAGAAGAAAAAAAATAGAAAAATATATTCTTAAAAGGTATACAAAAAGCTGCAATGTTTGGTTACATTAAAATTAAGTTCTTCTATTCATCAAAAGCCACCATTAAGAGGGTAAAAAAGGAGGCCACAAGGTAGAAGATATTTGCAGTACGTATACTTGACAAAAGACCCATCCCAAATATAGTTAAAGAACTCCTGTAAATTAATTAGAAAAACACATGCAGTCTAATATAAAAGTTAACAAAATATTTGAATAAATACTTCACAAAAGAGAATCTGCAAATGAGAATTTCAGAAATGATAATTAAGGCCACAGGGCCGGCCCTGTGGCTTAGTGGTTAAGTGTGCGTGCTCCGCCGCTGGCGTCCCAGGTTTGGATCCCGGGTGTGCACCCACGCACCGCTTCTCCGGCCATGCTGAGGCCGCGTCCCACATACAGCAACTAGAAGGATGTGCAGCTATGACATAGAACTATCTACTGGGGCTTTGGTGGAAAAATAAATTAATTAATTAAATTAAATTAAGGCCACAATAAGATGTTACTACACGCCTATCAAAATGGCTGAAAAAGAAAAAGACTGGCAATGATGAGTGTTGGTGGAGCAACTGGAACTCTCATCCACTGCTGGGGGGAATGTAAAGTGGAAAAATGTTTTTCAAATAACTATTAAAGCTGAATATGTGCATGCCCCATAACCCAGCCATCTGACTCTTAGGTATATACTTCACAGAAATGCTTACTGTGTGCACCAGAATGGCAGCATTATTCATAATAACCCCAAAGCGGAAACAACCTAAGTGAAGAACTTGTGGTATATACATACAATGGACTACTATACAATGAAAATTACAGGAATGAAAATTAACAACCTACTTCTACTCATAACAACATGGATGAATCTCAGAGACATAATGATAAGTGAAAGAAGCCAGACTAAAAGAATACATACTGTATGATTCCATTTATGTAAGCTTCAAAAACAGATAAAACTGTGGTGTTAGGAATCAGGATAGAAGTTGCCTTTGGGGAAGAGGGTGGGTGTAGTGATGGGGAGTAGTCATGAGGGGGCTTCTGAGATGCTGGTAATGTTCTATTTTTTTATTTGAACAGTAGTTATAATTTGTGATAATTCATTCAGCTGTACACTTATGAATGGTGTGCTTTTCTGTGTTTATGTCATACTTTAATTTTAAAAGTATATTTTTTTTTAAATTCCTGGTATGAAAGCCTGAAAAAAATGTCTCTAGTGGGTCCTCATGAAGAGGATGCTCTGTCCTTGGCAACAGATGCAGTACAACTCGGGCTGTTTCTAACAGTGTCCCCGATGTGGGCTGAAGGCGGGATGCCAGAGGGAGAGTCTGTGCGGGCCCTTCCATGAGGGATTACCTCATTGTTTCCAGTACTTTGCTCTCTGCTGACCTGGCTCAATCCAAGGGTTAACAGAGTAGAGAAAAATGGATGGGCTGCATATCCTGCAGGCAATCCTGAAAACACGATTTCTCTCAGCTGAGTTTTTGCTGCGTAGTGAATGAGAGAGCGATGGAGATTATAGACTCTGACAGGAACTCGGGGTACAGATACACTCTACTGCCAAGTCAGGACGGATCTAAATGTTTTTCTTTTTTTTAATAATTTTATTTATTTATTTTCCCCCAAAGCCCCAGTAGATAGTTGTGTGTCATAGCTGCACATCCTTCTAGTTGCTGTGTGTGGGACGTGGCCTCAGCATGGCCGGAGAAGCCGCGCTTTGGTGCGCGCCCGGGATCCGAATCTGGGCCGCCAGCGGCGGAGCGCGCGCACTTAACCGCTAAGCCACGGGGCCGCCCCCTGGATCTAAATGTTTTAACCATAAAGTGAGTTAGGAGGAGGATTGGTGTCCCTGAATGAAAATCTAACAGGTCACTGTGAATACAAGCCCATCTCCCTGTCACAGGGAGATGGGGACAAGGTGAAATCGGGAATACTGTATTTCATTAATTCTAAGATAGAGATTTTCCCCCAACATTTTAACGTTTTAAAAATTAGAATGCATTTTACAGTGGATGTCTCATAGTTTAGTTGGCAGTGTTTTCTTCTTTCAAAAATATGATGCATCTTATAATTGATAGCATCTTAGAGTCAATTAAGTCAGTCACTACCTTCCCTGTGTTTCCCCTCTTTAAGCCTCAATATCTCCAACTACTTGGAGGTGATAGTTTAAATTTATTTTAAAAGTCTAAATTTTGCTTGGGACCTTAGGGATCGTTTACTATAGTACCCGCCCCCCCGCCCATTCCGTCCTATCTGTTGCCTAGGAGCCAGCTGTAGGAGGCATATTTTGATGAATATATAAAATGATTTGCAGTAGGTTATGACTTGCTTGTATGGAAGGTAACTAGATTCCTGCAAACAGTCCATCCCTCTGCAGTGGTGTTTACACTGTAAATTTCCTTTGCAAACTCTTCTTTTCCAGATAATGTTGAGGCAAATATCAGCATAACCCATCTAAAATCACAGTCGAAATGATGAAGTTTCCTCATATTTAATTACATCAGCTCTACAACACCTTAA